ACCGAATTCCACGAACACTTTCTCCAGGTCAAAATGTTCTAAATCAATGCGTCGGCGTCTCGTCGATGGGTCTCGTCAAGGTTGGTTCAGGGAAACAGGTCATCGTACCATTCGTGTCACGACAAAAGCCACTCTTTTGGTGTCCAGTTTGGGCCATGGGATTTGGGATTTAGAGAAAGGAAAGGGTATGTTTCTGTAACAGTGAAAGCCATGGACCATAGAGATTGTATAAAACAGGGAAGAGGGGCAGTTGAAACTTCTCTATTACATCCTTAACCACTCCACCTCGCGCGGCCGCGGGATTGATTGATGAGATGACTACGAGCTTCATTGCGGCTACCTCCGGCAGTTTATTGATTTTAAGGTGTCGACGTTTATCGAAGCTACACTTTTGTGCGATTTTCGTCGTGGGACAAATTAGTGTTGCCAATGACAACAACGACAAATTCAACTGAAGAAATCTTAATTGATACAAGCGCGTTTTATTTTTTATCTGGCATTCGTTTGCATCCGGTTATTATTTATATTTTTTTAATAGGAAACACTGCGAAATTAATCCCCAATTCTCCGAATTTCAGAGAATTGGGGATTTACGAAAAATAAACTTTGATAAACACCGAATTTTCGCTAAAAAATAAACTCCGAAAAACACCCTCCGAATTTCACAAACAATAAACTCCGAAAACGCGGAGCCCTAGTTATGAGCAATGCCAAAACTGCCAAAACAGTCCCTCCTTGCCCTTCTGATTTAGTTACTTTCGTAACTTTAGCGTAAACGGACCTAGCAACAAGAACAACCATAAAAACCCTAGGGGAAAAGACAGGGAGACTTGCTGCATGACAGTGAAAAAAAAGGATTTTGTGGGGAGAAAAGTTACGGTGTGGGTCAGACGTTAAGCATGCACTGATTTTCAAACGGAATGTATTATGGGTAAAAGAAGGGTGCAAAAAAAACGCAACGCGACAAAAAAAAATTTTTTTTTATACAGCTTGCTAAACTTGAACGAAAAGTGAAAACCTTCTCTGTTTCATAATTTATTTCTCAGTACTTGTACATGGTAAAGGCACAAACCTTGTTTAATTTGGAAGGCAATGAAAAGTTTTACGTGGTGGTACTATTTTAAAAGCGATACTAAACATAGTGGACTCAAAAAAATATCTGCAATTTAGGTCACAGTTGTTCGAAGAGGCATGTTTGGGGATTTTTACAAAACATTGCAGCGTCGAATAATAAATAGTAGTTATAATGTCCTTTTACCTACTTGCATATATATCACACTAAAAAATATAAACGCTCTTTTTTTAATACCTTGAGATTGAGAGTGATTCAAAAACGCCACGCACAACAATCGTCAAAACCGCGTCGTCCTTTCCCGCTTCTTTGAGATTTTTTTTTTTTCCACATAAACGAAATATGTCAGGACATTAAAATAAAAAGGATTGTTCTTCTTGGAACATCCACCACGAAATATAAAAATTTGAGGCAAAATAAAAAAATACGACTGCACCTCGTAGCCTGAATCTAAATGAAACCGCCCACATACAGAATGTTTAATTGAGAGCCTAAGAGAAAAGAAATAACCCTATCACTCTCAACCTGCACCGCCAAATGGCATAATAGGTAACCAATAAAAATAAATGAATAGGGTCCAATGACCAAAATTAAATGCACCGCCCACATACCGGGTGCTTTTTTTTTTTTTTTTAAGCTTAATATATTTGTTTAAAAAATCCATGAGCGTGGTCGGCTGCCGGAATCGGATCGGCAGCCGGAATCGGATGGGCTTTTCTTCAGCGGGGGCTACCTTTCACCGGTGAGCCCTTGGTGTAGTACACACACATAGTTTTACGATAACACGAATCGATCAACAATTCTCTTAAATTTCCGACGGTCGCCGAACTGCGGAAACGATGGATTTCGGCCGTTGGTTGCAGCGGTGGCTGGACCCCGTCGAAGCAGAGCGTGGCGTGCTCCGTGCACTTCCAATTGTGAATAAAACATCTCTCAACCTCGAGTCATGTTTAATTGGTTCAATTTGTCATGACAGCAATAAAACGTCCCAGTCGACGACCTGCATAGCGGTCGCAATGAAGGAAAAGCCAAACGTATTGTATAGAGTGATATAACATATGAGAGCGATGAGAGCGCAGCTATCATTTGCAAGCGAGCGCGGAAATCATCGCCGCACAAATGCGTAAGTATTAGTCCAATATGTTGGGTCAACATAGTTACGCAATCGTGTGTGTATATAATTTATTCTTGCTTTGGCTGCTGCCGAAAAAGTGGCCAGGAGATAAAGGGAATACTCCCCGCCGATGCACGGTACATTACCCAAAACACGCCAGCAGACTTCGTTACAGCCCTGACGTTCCACGTTGAATACTATCGTTTTCAGGGTGGTAACGCTCTGTAGAAAACAGAAGGCATAACGAAGCGCAGCAGGCGTAGAGTCGGTCGGCTGGGCGCGAGCCACAGTTTCTGGCTGTGATGACTGATAAATGAAACCCACCAGCACCGCTCTTCCTGCTACCCGCAACCATCAACCACGCGACGGTCACGTGCTGTGCCGATAAGTGAGGAGGGTAAGGAGGAAAATGAGAAAGAGGCGAGGGTTCAAGGCAGCATGGCTTGTGGAGGCTACGCGGCTGACGTCATGCCCCCTCCTACTCTTCTAATCTCCTTGATGGCTGCGGCCGCTCTGGCAGTGTCGTGAGCGGGACGTCGGCGGCATCCTCGCGACTGCCATTTTCAATACGGGACATTTCATTCGGTTTGGAAAACTCAGTAAGGTGGGCAACGATCACCGGCAACTTGGTGCTTGCGACGCGCGAACATTTCTCGGCGAAGGTACGGTGTGTACACGAAAGTCGAATGCATTTTCATGTTTAAACATATCTAAAATGTTACTCTGGACCAACAAAAACTTTTTTTTTCTTCTCAAGTCACAGCATTTCGTGTGTGAAATAAAAATTGTGACTATCTTGGTGGCGTTGCAAGCGCGAGATGCTTTTGCGTCGTGGCGGAGAAATGCTATTCTAAAACTCATTGCGTAGCGTGCGCTAACGCAAAAAAAATTTAGCGGTAGCGTGCGCTAAAATTGCGCACCTTATTCTAAAACTCTCTATTGAGTGCGCTTCTCAGCGCGCACTGGTGTACTGCAGTGAAGCGACCATCGGTTCGTAGGCATCCTGATTTTGAGTATCTTCCTTCCACGCAGTGCACCAGCGTGCTAAAGGAAAATCGCTCCTCCAGAGCGGGGCTCTGCTCAAGAAACATCAAAAATATATCTTTTTTTTTTCTTGTAATTTCGAGATTTAGCTAGGAAACTTGGGAATTGCAAGATGGTTTATATAAAATACTCTATATATGTTTTTTTTAGTTATTGTTTAGTTATAATTGATGTTCAAAATAAAATTACAAAGGCTTTGTTTTTATTTGAATTAAGAATTCCAGCTTTATTACAGTCTTTAGAACTTGAACGAAACATGATTTTATTGGCTTAAAATTATTCTATTAGAACATTTTTTCTGTGCAATACACTATTTGGTTTGTCATTGATTCCGTGCCTGAAAGAACCACTTCCAGCAGTTTATACTGCTCTTTATCAATCAACATCTTGTTGTCGTGCCTGGCGCTTCGTCGTGCAAAAGAACAGCTAATTCTTTGTTTAAAGGAATCAAACCTGCCATGCAGTTGTTGCTAACAAAATGTTGCACGGAAGTGGGAAGGAAAAGTAGACAAATTTTTAGTAGGACAGGCCAACACACAACGCTTAACATATTTGCAGTGGTGTGAAATACATTTAGGTGTATGCTTATGGTCCAAAAAATGTTGGCACTCCAAAATAGACTTTTCACTGCTCCAAACATGACTCGGGCGAATAACATCACAGAACTGCTGCTAATTCTATGAATTCTGCCCCATCGCCGTTTCCAAAACTTGTTTTCTCATGTTCGCCTTTTTTTTAGATTATGATGGGTTGCAGCGGACGCTACGAGCTAATCTTGCCCATCCAGTGCTCCGAGTGTACCACGTGACTCCACGCCCCGCGCGTTACTGCGCTTCTTCGGAAGGTCACATGACACTCGCGTGGTATGAGACTGACTCTGATGGCTCGTGGCGACCACTGCGATCCATCGTATGGTGAAACTAAGTGTCGCAAACATACGTATGCATAATTAGAAGCGAATGCCTTATTGGTCCGGGCTTCATGGTTAGCACTGTAGCAATACATTAACAGTGCTTTTTCTCAAGTGTTAATCTATTCTCAACTATAGCTGTTATTAATGGAAAAAGAAAACTTTGATATATTGTTGCAGATGGAAAAGGATCGACAAGCGTAAAACAGAAAATAAGTGTTTAATTAACGAACTTGTGCCAGAAAGGAGATCCATTGGTGGATCTTCAAAAGAATGCGTTAGCATGACTTTTAGGAAACGCCATGCACGTTCCCCTTTGAGAGACGCTAACGTTGACACCTTCATTTTTCTTTTTAGTCTTTCTATTTTGCTTCCTCTCTTTTTTGTTGCTTTTTTTTTGGTTTCGTTACGGGGTCAGCGTTCTTCAAATGTGGACGTGTGTGGCGCTTTCCAAGGGTCTTGCTAACGCATTCCCCAAGAAGCCACCAATGGATCATTTCTTTAATTTTTGCCGCCTACCTATATACTAGTTCAAACTCTCCCCAGCATCCGCGCGCGCATTGGCTACCGTCCCGTTACGTCACCTCCTTGTCGCCTTCAGCTTTTCCCTGTCATGTGGGTATTAATGCCAACGCATTAAAAGAAAGACGGAGCGTGGAGAAAACAGCAGCGAGCGTGTAGATGTCGGCGTGACAGTCGGCTACCGCCAGAGTGAGTCGTCGCGGTGTCGGCGACTGTCTAGTGCAAGAATCAGTCGGCCAAACCGCGCTGCGCTCTTTATCTTTTACCCTCAGTATCTGAAACATTCAGTCTAGAATGTTCGAGCGTTGAACGCTCGGGAGACTGACTCGGCAAGGTCGGTTGGCCTCCTTATCAAACTCAGGGTGAGAGTAAACACAAATCTTTTAAGAGAACGGAGAAATGTTTCCTCCGGGCCATGTACGCGACAATATAAGATTTATGACAGACGTTAGTAGAGTTAATGTTGCTTCCACATTTTATAAACATACAGTAGAAAAATGAGCTTCAGCGTATTTTCTAAATAACAAAAAAAAAAAGGCTCTGAAGTTCTACAAGCGCTCATGACACTCGTGGGATGCATTTGATCTTGAGTCCATTTGCTGTTCTGAGGACGGCGTCCACAGTCATTAGGAGCTTGTCTCGAGGATCCACCGACTGCAAGCTGAAGGACCGCAGGACGTGGCTTAAGATTATCTTAATCTCCATCCAAGCAAACTTCTGACCTGCGAGGCAACAAACGCTTAAAGGAGCAGTGTAATGATTTTAACGATAATTTGCATCTCCTACTTTTGAAATTCTTTTTCTTGTCACAAAGGACAGAAAACACATCCCCTTGCTTGGAAATGTTGCGATTCCGCAGCAAAATTGCGAGGCAAAAAATTATATTTCCCGACCTGCAGCCGCGAGCGGCGGCCGTGAGAACCACGGGGCGTGACGTCAAAAGGGGACTTGTAAAAATTTAGAAAGTTGTGCAAATACCTGCTCGATAAAAGGAAAATTTTCTATAAATCTTGTTGTTCCAACATAAATATAAATGCGTCCACAACCTGGTATCATCGACAAAACTTTTATTATACAGAGTTTTAGTTGCGCCATCTATCCGAGGTCAACAAAACCGTCAGCTATATCCAACGTTAGTAGATTACCTCAGTTGTGTTCCAGTTTCATGAAACTCGAACACAGAGTCACTTCTCGTATAGGGCACTGCTAAGTGTAGGCTTTGAAAAAGAACCACTTTGGGGAGTTATGTCTTCTTTCTCAATCAAATAATGCAGCAGATTTTTAACAAAAATTAATGCCGAAATAGAGATGACAGGATACCGAAATTTAAAAAAATCGAAGGTGTTTTTTTTTTTTAACTTTGCATCGGAACTTTTGAATTGTTTGATTTTTCTCCATGTTTGCCTAAATATATCGCGACTATCGTATCACTCAGATGTATAATGTATACTTTAAATTATAGACATATATAAGTAGAATACTATCTGAAAAGTATATGATGATGATTAAAATATTTCATGAGATACAGGCCTCCAAATATTGCCATTTGTCGTTCGAGAAGGCATGTCAGCCATTGTTATAAAAATGAATATGCATTAAATAGATATTATTACTATATATTTTAGAAGCAAGCTGTACCCCGAGTTTTTTTTTCTTCTAAAAAGTATTGAATTTCTCTTAATTTTATCGTTTTAGTTATTCACTTTCAAACGTGCCCGTTTGAAAGTGTGCCATCCGTGCGCGTTAATGCAACTGTCCACCTCTTCCTGCCTTAGGACTTTTCCTGTCCTCAATCTGTTTTGTTTTTTTGGTCAAAACTAAGTGTGGATTCGTTTATACCAGACACTAGACAATGGCATATAAAAGCATCAGTTGATTTAAAAATGTCGACCAGCCATCCTTTGGTCGATCTTATCTGAAATCACCAATGTGTATATATATTTTTTTTTCTTCTGCGACTGTTACTGCGTAGAGAGAAAAAGTAACGCGTAGTTTGGGCCCCGAATATCTGCGGATTGCCCGCGGATCATCCGTGGACGTCCGCAGTAAACTGGCGGATACGGATATAAATGAATCAGACTTGGCGGATCGCGGATTGGATGCGGATGTGAGGAGCTGCGACTGCGGATCGGATCCGGAAATCCGCAAATCAAAATGCAATTTTTCTTTTACTTTTCTTTTTTCGGACGCGGTTAATAAACGTGAGCGACCGCAGATTGTAGAGTAAACAAGTGAGTGAAACTATGAAGGTGCATCACCGAATGCTTCGCTGGACCAAATTACTCTTAGGAAAAAGGTGCCAAACGGGGAGGAAACTGCACTTTAGACCAGGAAAGACCCGACTCTCACCAAAGATCGCATTAGTGTGTTCTGTCTGGCCAAAAATGTTGTCCCTAGAAGAAGTGAAGAATGCAGGGGCAACAATCGACTCGGGAAAGCGTGTTCTTGTTTGGCAGAGGAAAGAGGGGAAGACGTCTTTGGGCGATTAAGACGTAGAAGCCACGAGAAAGTAGAAGCTTCCTTTCCTCCTTGGTGTATTCGCGTCTTACCACGTAAAGCTCCGGATAAAATTCCTCGCTGCGGTGAGTGACTGCCTGTCCTCTCCCACTTTTTTTATTGTGTCGCTTTGAAGTAGAAAAAAAACAAATTGTTATTAGTCCGTTTTCTCTGGGTAATTATCACGGTTAAAAAATATGCGTCTGCTTGGAGTGGGTGTTACGTAGCAGAAAGAAGGAAATATTAAAATTGACTTCCTTTTGGGCGCATTTGCTAAACAGAGTGTCGCAGACTCCCAGGACGATCTTGAAACTGCGATCATTTTTACGCGCCGCAGACCCCACCTCGTACCGCCGTTCTACGACGATCATCCAAATGACAGCGATTTTGATAGGTGCCAGCGCTCCCCATGTAGGTCGTCAAAGTTGCGAATATAAACACCATAAAACAGAACGCGACTAAATGACTTCCACCCGTATTCTGACTCAAAAACGTTTTCGTACAAAAATAAGCACAGCTTATAAAATTTTAAATACCCTCAATTTTTTTTAAAGGTTTTGTTTGATTTTATTATTTAAAATGAATGCTCGGATTGCGGGTCGGATCCCAAATAGCACCCAATGTTGTGCAAACATTCCCTGGATGTTCTGAATGTTAAAGGAACGTTAAAACACCATTCGGAACGTTCTAGGAACGTTCGTATGTGAACATTCCCTGGAAAGTAGGCTGCTCGACAATGTACGAACGTTCGTTGGCGAACATTTGTATGCACAATGTTCTCAGAACGTTCCCTTTCGAACATTCGTATGCGGAACATTCTGGGAACGTTCGCTTGCGAACATTCCTAGAATGTTCGCATGTGACGCCAACTTTACAGAGCTCTCACGCAACCTGTGATTCGAAACACCATCCACTATATGCCACTTTGTGCCAAAACTATGCCAATTAAGTGGAGTTTCTGAAAACTTAGCACAAGAGATCAGTTTTATCTTTACGGGTATACCGGGGGAATGTGATATGAGGTGTAGGAGATAAGCAATGGTTTTCAAAACATGATAATGAACTTGGCACTCAATGCGTATGTAGAGGGGCAGTTTTAAATGGACCAGATTCTTAGTATCTGGGGTTTTGAAACTTTGAAAAAAGGTATTTCTTAGTTGAATGTGGGATGCAATGTGTATTCGTTCTTAGGCTCGGAGTGAGTAATCGGTTATGCATGCATCACTTTTTGAATGAAAGAAGTTGACAAGTGACAGGTGTGTTAAGCTGTTTTTAGGACGTGCTCAGGCTGGTGCGCTGGGAAAGTGGCTAGCTTGGGCTTGCGCCTTCTAAAAATCTGTTTCGATTAATAAACATTGTTTTGAGAGGAGCTTCATCAGATCCATATATGTAGTGCGGCTCATTGGGGTTGTAGCCTAAGCAAGCCGTAATTGTAGAATCTTTATAAATAGTCCTCAGATAATGTTCACTGAATGTAGCGATGTACCCACGCCACGCTCCGTGGAGGATGAATTAAAGGATGTCCCCGCATAAATTTGTAACATTTCAAGAAAGTTGCAGAAGTTTTTTGGATGTTCTGAGAACATTCTTAGAACCTTGTTAGGGTATTTGAATGTTGATTGAACGCCCCGGGAATGTTCTGTCGTTCTCAAAACGTTCTAAGAATGTCCCTTAGCAAATATCCTCCGAATGTAGCGATAAGTACCTGAGCCACATTCTGACAACGTTGATAGTATTTTCTTACGTAATTTTGCAACATTCCGAGAATGTTGCCTATGTTCTTTTGAACGTTCCCGTAACGTCCTCAGAACGCTCTCGTGCAACATGGGTTTCGAATTTCGCGGATGCGGTTTCGAATTTCGCGGATACGGTTTGGATGCGGATTCAAAGTATGTGGATGCGATCTCAATAATTTAGAAACATCGCTAAAGCGGTTCGGCTGCGGACTAACAAAGCATTATTCGCGCAGGCCTCTACGCGTAGGTTACGGACGTCAAATATTAATTCTAAGTGGTATTTACTGCATGTAAAAGAATCGTTGCACCACTCCTCCAGACATGAAGACATAGACGTATTAAGGATATACACCATTGTTCGTACCGATGCAATTTCTGGATCCGGCCGAGAACGGTATGAACGCAAAAGGGTCACGTGACGCGGAGTTTTCGGGAAGGAACCGATCAGGATCGAACTCTTCTGGCCTTGGGAAGACGTCGGGATCACGATGCAGCATGTATAAAACCAGTCCAATATTGGTTCCCTCTGGAATCGTATGGCCTCCTAAGACAAGAAGAACAGGAACATCGGTGTTACCTACGCAAAGCACGCTCTCTAAAGATAACACCTGTGAGTTCACTCTCCCGCAGAACACGGATACAGCCAATTACGGCCAAGAAAAATGGTCAAAGTGCAGACGAGCTGGTGTGAAACAAGTTAACCCAGTTCTTGTTAAATGCTCCTTTTTTGCGTGTGTGTTTGTGTGTCTGTATTTAAATTCAACTTTCTTTTGTGAAGCATTGTTGTTTGTGGTGATTGTACAAAATAAAATTTGTAGCTGTGCTTGAGACGTTGCCTGTTCTTTTTTTTCTGTCTTCCTTTGCGTTTTACGTTTTCCTAGCCCAGTCTCAGGTTTACCATCATGTTCAACAGGAGGATCCCAGCAAATGACGGAGCTCAGAATACGACTGACAGCTTAACAAACGCAGACTGTACGCTGCGAGTCCCCAGCACCTTACTAATGAGTTTTAGTATGGCGCCTTCAGAACGCCGAAGACACGAAGCGTCAACATAATAGAGCGCACCCTGCGTTTCATGAGAAATCAGTGACTCTTTGATGTACGTCGATATTCACTGTTGAGAGTGTTACTTGCCCAGCTTGAGCTCCTCTGTGGCGGTACGTCCGATGAGCGGTACTGCGGGGCACAGGCGTTGAGACTCCTGCGTGTCGTTATAAACATAAGAGAACCTTTTTTACAGCGGAGCTGTTAAGGGCTAGTTTCCCCAAGATCGTGTCCGTCTTCAAATGACCTGATGACACTGAACTCTGGACAGCTAAAACCATCTATGAGCGGCATCTATGAACGACAACCACATGACCGGATTGCCGGTTGTCTGGTTGCCGCCGTCGATCACAGATGGCGGCAACCTTTCGAGCCTTTCCACTCTGGCTTGCCGACTCGCGGCCGGCCGTTACTTGATACCCACCATATGTACTATCGGGGAAAAATGAAATGCGAACAGAGGAGCGCGTGGCTCGCGGTACAGGCTGCGCCGCCTGGAAGTGAGCATAGGAGCGAGGGTGCGTGGCCTACTTCGATGTGTTCATGCCCTTCTCTCTGCTCTCTTCAAGCTTCAGCAGTGCGCCTCTTAGTGCGCTGAAAGCTTTCACCGCTATCTTTGCTGGCTCACCGCGTGCGGTGCAAAGAAGCTCGCTGCACTCGCCGAGCAGGCAGAGATAGCAGTGACAGCTTTCAGCGCACTCAGAGGCGCACTGCCGAAGCTGGGGGAGGGCCAATCGAGGGGTGTGAACACGTCGAAGTAGGCCATGCACGCACCCTCGCCCCTAGGCTCACTTCCAGGCGGCGCAGCCTGTACCACGAGCCACGCGCTCCTCTGTTCGCATTTCATTTTTCCCCGATAGTACAGCTTCGCTGGTTGTCTTTTTCACCAAAGTGAAAAGGCTATTTTTTTTTATTATTATTACCTGTGACAATAATGCCTGTCTTTGGGTTGAGCTCCATACCGAAAATATAATGCGCAAATACTGTGAGACATTACTGGCTGAGAATTCGGGGAAATCTTACATTTTTGACAAAAGTAAGATAAGAATATAAATATATATATATATATATATATATATATATATATATATATATATATATATATATATATATATATATATATATATATATCAGTGTGTCGAACCGAAAAAAATACGGGTTCGGTTACGGTTCAGGTTCAGTTAAATTTATTTTGTTCCGGTTCAGTTCCGGTTCGATTAATTCGATCCGCGAACCGGTTCGCGAACCGGTTCGGGGCGCTGAACCGGTTCGCGAACCGGTTCGGAAATTATAAATGACAAATTGCAACATCAAAATAAATTACAAATAAAACATCTGAAATCAGCACATACGAAACGGGGTACATCGCAATGTAAGACTCAGGGATTTCTACCAGGAATGGTTTCTTTATGTGCACTCAAGGGTTACCTCACCAACGTTTACGAATTCGGACTTCATCTAATTGGGTCCGACGCAGTAGCTGTAAAATCCGCGACCGCCTTACAAACCCACTAACAAGTAGAACTCGCTAACTATCCCGCCATCTCGGCGTGTAAGCAATTGAAGGAACAGTGGGGAGAAAATACAGCTTTCTTTTTTGAACTAGCCTTCGGTAACTCAAATTAGACCCTTAAAGAAGTTTTCATTAAACAAGATACGAAATATGAAAAAACACTTCACCGAACGCGACGCCAGAAGGACGTAATAGGATAAATATTAAAATAGAAGAGTTCGCTGTCTCACAAATATGTTAGCTTCTAAGTGCCTATACGAAACCGGATGCATTATTATCAAACTCCACAGCCTTTTCTTTTCTCATTCCGATGGAAGCAAGCTTCAAGAACTCGCGCGTTCTAGAAACGTGTTATGAAATGAGCACACAGCAGCCTTTAGGATTTACGAGATTGTAAGAAAATAAAATCCCGTGACGCGATTTCTTTTTTTTTTTTTTTTGCACAGCTTTCCAATTCTCTTTCTTCCGTGCAAGCCGCGACCAGCGCAATACTGGTTCCTATGTCAAGATTCATGGATGCAGCGTTTATATTCCTAAGACTGAGTGGAGAAGAAAAATATGTAAGCGAGGTGTGTGTTAGTTGACGGCACTTAAAAAACAAATGGCATTCATAGCACATTCATTGTCAACAGCGCGTGGCCGAACCGTTTTGACATGAGCCGGTAACCGTTATTTTTTTTCCGGTTCAGTTCCGGTTCGGGTTCATCGCGATAACAATATAACGGTTCGGGTTCGGGTTCAGTTCCGGAAAAAATACCGGTTCGGTTCCGGTTTTCGGTTCGGTTCAGTTCCGGTTCGACACCCATATAATATATATATATAATTTTTCCCGTAATCTTTTATGTTTTAGAGCGCAGCTCTTAGGGGCCCGCTTCCGGCTTGAGCGGCGTCGCCGTCGCCGTCGCCGTCGCCGTCGGCGTCGCCGTCGGCGTAACCGCGCGGTGCATCATGGGAAATGTCCCGTAATGCACCTCGCGAGGCCCCCACCGGGGTCACGTGACCTCGTGGGGGTCACGTGACCCCTCGAGGTCACGTGACCCCCCGAAGTCACGTGACTCCACTGAGGTCACGTGACCCCCTCCTCGAGGTCACGTGACCCCCTCCTCGAGGTCACGTAACCCCCGCCGATGTCGCGTGACCCCCCGATGACGTCATCGTCACTGATGACGTCACCGGCATCCACATCGTCATCGTCATAATCACTGATGACGTCACCCGCATCCACATCGTCATCGTCATCATCACTGATGACGTCACCGGCATCCACATCGTCACCGTCATCATCACTGATGACGTCACCGGCATCCGCATCGTCATCATCACTGATGACGTCACCGGCATCCACATCGTCATCGTCATCACCACTGATGACGTCACCGGCATCCGCATCGTCATCGTCATCATCACTGATGACGTCACCGGCATCCGCATCGTCATCGTCACTGATGACGTCACCGGCATCCACATCGTCATCGTCATCATCACTGATGACGTCACCGGCATCCACATCGTCATCGTCATCATCACTGATGACGTCACCGGCATCCACATCGTCATCGTCATCATCACTGATGACGTCACCGGCATCCGCATCGTCATCGTCATCATCACTGATGACGTCACCGGCATCCGCATCGTCATCGTCATCATCACTGATGACGTTACCGACATCCGCATTGTCATCGTCATCATCACTGATGACGCCATCAGTGACGTCACTGATGTCGTCACCGGCATCCGCATCGTCATCGTCATCATCACTGATGACGTCATCAGCGACGTCACTGATGACGTCACACACATTCGCATCGTCATCGTCATCATCACTGGTGAAGTCATCAGTGACGTCACTAATGACGTCATCGGTACCCGCATCGTCATCGTCACTGATGACGTCATCAATGACGTCAGTGATGACATCATCGGCATTGGAAGTCACGTGACCCCCAAGGTCACGTGATCCCCCCCCTGGTTACTTTAACCCCCCCCCAGTGCCCTTCCCTCCTTCTCCTCAAGAGCTGCGCTCTAATTCGGCGTTACAGGGAGTTGTAAGCGGCTTTCATTTTTTATTTCTTACTTTAAAGCTGGCAGTGGCGGAACGCGATGATAATCTAACCATCCGCGTTTTTGTGCCTGCTTCACTAGTGGTAACTTTGGTGCGCCCCCGAGTTTACCACGAGCTTCAAGTCGTTCTAAAAAGAGTTGATTTAGTGGTTTTTGATGACGCTTTTTAAGTTTCTAACTGGAATTATATGTCTATTTTCACTCATCAAAAGTTAATTAACGAATTGTAATTATTTTGATGACTTATCGCAAACATTATCCACCCACATAATGTCCCCCTGGCCGTTTAAACAAATCTGTAAATCTGAAAAAAAAAAAAAATCACCCTGTACATAATAAGAAGAGCCCTTTACCCAGTATAAAAGGCTTTGACAATCAGGTGAATTGCATTTTTAGACTATTGTATCAAACAATTAAACGGGATCTTTGTATCAAACAATTAAATGAAATATTTTTTACGTCGTAAATTTTTTTGCGACTTTTTTTTTTGCGTGACGTTTTTATGTTAATGAAAGAAAGCGAAGTTTTTTTTTTGGTTTTTTGGCTGGACTGAAGACAGACCTGCGATTTTGGGGATCGGTGGCCGAGTGGGCTAGCGCACACCAGCTCGGAGCACGTGGAGCGAAAGCTCGCGCTGCAAAACTTAGGCATCCTTTCTTCAATCCCCCTGCCCGTTTCGATCCGGATGAGCATCGTAATGGCGTGCGGTCGTGCATCACTACTGCGTGGTGCACGTTAAAGACTTAAGGCTAGCGGTTGTACTGTACTGGCTAAACTTCTCATCTACAGCGTGTGACTCGTCGCAACTTTGAAATGGCTGACCAACTACACGCTGTATAAATATCCACACAACCACAATTTTTTTCTGCGATGTTCCAAAACATTTTCAGCTTCCAATCCTACGATCGCCATTTTTGTTTCTCCCAGGTTAGTCATTCCAGCAAAAAGCCGTAAAATAGCATTCGAACTACGTTTTATTGCACAATCATTATTCCGGCTTGTTTCAATCCTCAAGTACAGAATCACGCGGTGAGCAGGTTTTTTTTTCAATTGTTATTACTGCTTTCCTTACCTCGTCTCTTAGGAAACAAACTAACCAAATTTGTGACTTAAAGGAACGCTGAAATCTCCAAAAAGGGTCAAGTGCCTAAATAAAACAAGTATATGTGTAAAAAAAATATTCTCGAAAAAAAAAAAGCGCAATATTTAAGTCGAGAGTCTCATTTTAAGTTGGGATTGACTCCCAAACATGCTTCTATTCGGAGACGTCGACGTGTCGAAATAAAAACATGTTTTTGGAATCGCTCCTCGCTCAAAAGAAGAGTCCCAAGATGTAAATATTGCCTTTTTTTAGCCCGTTTTTGGGACATGCGTTTCCTACTTTAAAAAAATGTTTGTTTGTTTTTTTTTTGTTTTTTTGAGGGGGGGGGGGAGGGGGGTTTAGTGTTCTGTCTTACCTTGATGACGCAATCCATATACTTGAGTTTCTTCATGTCCTCCGGCGTTATGTTCCTGTCCGGTTCTCCTCCGAGAACGTCATCGAGCTCCTCTTGAACTTTAATTTGCACTTGGCGATGCAGGCCGATCAGGTAAAGGCACCAGGCTACCGCCATTGTCGTGGTATCGTGACCCTGTGGGCTCGAAAGATGCACGCGATTTTGCTTGTCCCGTCACGGATCAACACCAAAACACTCGAAACGCACCTCAAACATGAACGTGTCCACTTCTTCGCGGATGTCTTCGTCCTTAAGAAGTGCGTCGAAATCCAAGCTGTGGTGGAGCAAGATGTCGATAAATGTCAGTCGCCTTTTTTCACGAAATTCGTCGTCGTTCGTAGAGACTGCGTGTACCGTTCTTCTTTCTCTGACCAGCTCTTCCCTTCTATCTCCAATCACCTATGAGCGTGCAAGGGACACGTGAGTATTATTCCTTGTACTAAATGCTACTGGACTTCGTCGTCTGGATCACCGCCCGCCGTAGACACTGGCAAGTTTCTTGGCCTTATTTTTTTACAAAAACAGAGCTACGCTTTGTAATTTTACAAGAAAAAACCGACTTGTGAAATACACCTTTGACGAAAAGTTAGGTGGCTACATGCAGGAGTCGATTTTTACGGTCCATTTTAACGGGTGATTCAAGGAGACGGCAGGCTCTTTAAATCGACCGGAAAATTCGGTTTCTTAACCTATATCGCGCTCCGACTTTGTGCAGCGTTGCCCACAGATGGTGCATTTTTTTTTTCTAAAATTTGCAGAGAGCGAACTTACCCGAGGAAGAAGTAAAGAAAGAAAAAGACTTAGCTCCTATGGAAACGCAGCGACGCCACCGGTCTTCAAACAACACGGCGCCGTTTCGCACGGGACACAAGAGATGGCGCAAGGAACGCCGCCAACGAACGAGCATACGGCGCCGAGAGCCAGCGTCTTTAGCAGACAATCTTTTCGACTCTAAAGCGGAGCGCGTTCCGCGGGCGGCGACAGTCGCAGAAACAAAAACAGGCGCGGTAAAAACAAGGAACTGCAGTTCCTTGTCTGCTAAATACGGCGGCTCTCGGCGTCGTTTGCTCGTTCGTTGGCAGCAGTTGACGTCGAGACCGCTTGCGCCATCTCTTGTCTCCCGTGCGAAACGGCGCCGTGCTGTTTGCAGACCGGTGGCGTCGCTGCCTTTCCATAGGAGCTAAGCCTTTTTCTTTCTTTACTTTTTCCTCGGGTAAGTTCGCTCTTTGCAAATTTTACAAAAAAAAAAAAAAAAATGCACCATCTGTGGGCAACGTTGCACAAAGTCGTACCGCGATAGGTTAAGAAACCGAATTTTCCGGTTGATTTAAAGAGCCTGCCGTCTCCTTGAATCAACCCCGTAGATCGAGCCTGGTGACTTAAACCCCCCTATATAGTTAAATCATCAAGTCATCGTCGGTGCCACTGCCTCGCCATCGAAGTCGCCACGATCGGAGAGAGGATCTTCGACAACTGACGCCTCTCCCCACCACAACAAGAACTTTACTCTTACCTTCTTGGTGAAATTGTGAACGACCGAGACCCTGCGCTTGTACTCCCGTCCTGCATCAGTTCTCAAATATATCGAGTCCAGTTGCAGCCATGGCGTCTGAGACCTCGCCACAAGCTGCTCAGTTAAACTAAAAAGAGAGAGAGAGAGAAAAAGCTACGGTCAGAATAACCGCACAGGCGTTTAACGTGAAAAATAACCAATCGGTAATGGGGCAACTGTGGACCAACTTCTGTATTGAGCGCGAGCTCTTCGTAAATTCATTTGGCGGCTGTCTGTTTGTCTTGTCTGGTTGTCGAACACCCAAGCGCAGCTAATCGACTCAGTACAAGGAAGCTGTTTTTTTTTTTACTTCTTATTTATTTGAATTTTGAAGGACTCTGTGTTGCCATAGCCTCCTCTATACTCACAAAGTCATGGCAGTTCGATGACGGAACCATGGAGTGGAATGCCCGGTCGCAGATTTGGAACACGACGATCTGGTAGCACAGAACATTTCTCGGGGAGTCGGGTATTCAGCGCACAGCTTTTGCAGCCGCGAGGACCCGAAACATGGTTTTCAAACCCGACGAGAAAACAAGCGGTAGCCCGATGAACGCGAGAAGCACGAGTAGACATTCCATCGCTCGGGACAAGTCTGTTTCTTCGGCGTCTCGCCGCAGCGGGGCACCCGTTATATGGCTCTTGTCTGCCGCTCTACCTTTTCACTTTCGGCGACCGCGTCACGTGACGATCTGCCTCTTTGTTGTTGTTGCCAAGTGCTAGATGAAAGTGTTTTGGGCGCGCATTAAAAACGTTACAACTCCTAAAAAGTAAAAAAAAAAAAAACGCGCTGGAGTTTATTTGTTTAGGTTACAATCGGTTGGTGTTACGAAAAGCGCCTTTTCTGATCTGCGACCGCGCCCCGTCTATGGCTTTCTGGCGCCCAGCGCTTCTCCGTGGCTCGCCGCTCGGCTGCCCCCTAGCGGTGTCTCCGGTTGCATCCGCCGTTGTTTGGGCTCAATAGGCCGTGTTCGCTATACGTGGCGAACACGGACAGAATACACGGCGAGGGTTTTATACGTTAAAAAATTAGCCTGCTTGTACAAAAAAAAAAGCGAAAAAAAAAATGCAAATATAATTTACGATATATTAAACAACAAAGTTCGGTTCTAACTACCCCACAAATAAACAAAATTATGAGAAAAAAAAGTCCGATTGCGTGTACTGCCGGTATGATTTCACCGGTGCCCAAAAAGATTCCCGATTTCATATTTGTAAAGCGCGTATTACATAATCTTTGTTTAATTTAGGTTTAATCCATTACGTTTTCTGCTTTTAACCCATTAATCGATTGACTACGCTGGATACAGTGTCTGACACTACGCAGCAATACCTTCACTTACTACTTAATTGCGTCGATGTACGATCCAATGTCTTCCCTATATTTGCCCGTCGTCACACCCATAATGGTCTCTGAAAACGCAGAAAGTATGAAAATGATTACGTACGCGGTATAGCACCCAAGTGAATGATTTTAATTCGAACAGATTTATATGATTTTTGTTCAATAACTTTTTTAATTAGGTAAAGCACTCATGTGGTTCTCATTAGAAACTTGCTGAGCGTCATCGAAAGCCACTAACATGGATGCTAATATTTTCATCCACGTTTTGGCACCGCTAGCCTTGCGCCTGTAGCACGAGTGCTACCACTGCGCTTCAGTGTTGAGGAGTTGCCACTCCGGAGTTGGAATGATTCCGGAATCATTCCGCATTTTCACGACCCCGGAATGGAATGGGAATGGAATGGCTGCAACGTTGAGGGGAATGGAATGGGAATGGAATTAGGTGCCTTTTGCCCGGAATGGAATGGGAATGGAATGGACCAAATAAGCACGACTTTTTTTTTTTTTTTTTAGTGTTTACGGTCAGCTAAATCGAGCCAGTCAGCAAGTCTGTTGCTCAGAAATAAAATGAGCGGGAAACTGCCAGCCCGCGTGGAGCCCTAAAAAGCTTATACGCAAAAAAAAAAAAATGCAATACAAAAAGCAAGCGTCAAGGCAAAGGGGGGAAGGTGGGTAACGTGGCGCCTTTCACGGACGCGCAGGCGTCGGGCTTCGATGGCATTACACGAGAGCGAAACAAGAAACCAAGCACCAAACAAAAGAAAAGGGAGCGGCAAAGAAAGAAACCGGCATGCACAACTCCTCATCGTCCTTCTTGTCATGTTTTTTTTTTTTGTTGTTGCGGGGGTATGTAAAATGCACGCGCGCGCACAGACAGATCTGGGAGCGGAAGCGACTGTCATAACTCGCAGAGCTCTGATAACTCGTTGACTCGGGCGCCGCCGAAAGATGATCAGGTATTGCTTTCTTATAGTTCGAGAAGCGTTGTTCAGCAGGCAGCCAACCCTGCTGCCTTCCACGTTCATTCGTGCGCACTCCTTTGAAGTGCGAAATGTGGGTTTGCTTCGGCATTAAAACCAAAGCGAGATTCACTTCCCTCTTCTCTTCTTGCGCTTTGCTCCGAGGCTTGTTTTTTCATACTGCATTTGTAGTGTAAGTCCGCTTTTTACTTAGTCTTTGTTCCTATGCTTGTTTTCTGTGTTATATGTTTTAGTGGGTCGAGGTTACAAGCAAGCTAGCGGATTCCCGCTCATTTCCTTTGACTTTAGTCTCTTTATACTTCGTTTCACCTTGCGATGGACCGCTGCGGACGCTACGAGTCACCCTAGGCAATCCAGCACCGTGAGCGGGACTGCAGGGTCACGCGACACTCAGAAGGCACTGGATTGGTTTAGATGGCTCTCGTGCTGTCTGTTGAGGTCCATCGTAAAGTGAAGTAGACTATCGACACCGCTCTTGGTGTGACCGAACTGACTAGACCTGCAGAAAGACAGTCCTGCGCCAGACGAGGCGCGACCGTTGCTGTGAGGGCAACTGAGAAGGAGAGCTGGGTGCTAGCTGCTACTGAGGTTTTGGCTTCCGCGCGTCTCGGCTGTCCGGTCTGCATTGTTGCTCCTTGTCCCGGACCCTGTTTGAGGCGGTGAGAAGTCAGTTGGACGGTGGTGTTGAGGAAAGACGGGAAAAACAGGTTACTTGTCCTACAAAAGAAAGCGATTCGATGCATATGCAATTTAGATTTTTGCGCTCACACCGCTCTTTCTTTCTCCAAACACACGATTTTTACAATTCAGCAACAATATAACTTCAAATTAGCCTTATCAATTTATAAAGAGATAAAAAAACAGCGAGTCTTCGTCTCTGGACATATATCCAAAAAAAATTACGAAATATAATTTACGGCATGAGTTATTACTTCAGGAGAGAATTCGCACCAATTACGGGTCACAGAAATCGAGCTTTTTGATTCCGGAATATTTAAACAAATTTTCAGAAGTATTAGATTTTATAAATTGCTGTTCTTCTTTGCGGAGCTTTTAAAAGGAAATAAAAGAATACATTTATACGCTCTCGGCTTAAATATTGGGCCGCTGCTTCATGCTCTCCAGATTCAGATGATTACTATTTTATGCATTCATTTAGGAATTGATTTAAGGCAAATCATCTCAGTTTGTGTTCGGTTTGTGTTCACTTTGCGTGTAATTTGTGTTTTGTTTGTGTTTAATTTATGTCAAAACCAGGGTGTCGAACCGGAACCGAACCAAACCGAAAACCGGAACCGAACCGGTATTTTTTCCGGAACTGAACCCGAACCCGAACCGTTATATTGTTATCGTGATGAACCGGAACTGAACCGGAAAAAAAATAACGGTTACCGGCCCATGTCAAAACGGTTCGGCCACGCGCTGTTGACAATGAATGTGCTATCAATGCCATTTGTTTTTTAAGTGCCGTCAACTGACTCACACCTCGCTTACATATTTTTCTTCTCCACTCAGTCTTAGGAATATAAACGCTGCATCCATGAATCTTGACAAACGCTGCATCCATGAATCTTGACATAGGAACCAGTATTGCGCTGGTCGCGGCTTGCACGGAAAAAAAAAAAAATTGGAAAGCTGTGCAAAAAAAAAAAAAAAAAATCGCGTCACGGGATTTCATTTTTCTTCAATCTCGTAAATCCTAAATGCTGCTGTGTGCTCATTTCATAACACGTTTCTAGAACGCGCGAGTTCTTGAAGCTTGCTTCCATCGGAATGAGAAAAGAAAAGGCTGTGGAGTTTGATAATAATGCATCCGGTTTCGTATAGGCACTTAGAAGCTAACATATTTGTGAGACAGCGAACTCTTCTATTTTAATATTTATCCTATTACGTCCTTCTGGCGTTGCGTTCGGTGAAGTGTTTTTCATATTCCGTATCTTGTTTAATGAAAACTTCTTTAAGGGTCTAATTTGAGTTACCGAAGGCTAGTTCAAATAAAGAAAGCTGTATTTTCTCCCCACTGTTCCTTCAATTGCTTACACGCCGAGGTGGCGGGATAGTTAGCGAGTTCTACTTGTAAGCGGGTTTGTAAGGAGGTCGCGGATTTTACAGCTACTGCGTCGGACCCAATTAGATGAAGTCCGAATGCGTAAACGTCGGTGAGGTAACCTTTGAGTGCAGATAAAGAAACCATTCCTAGTAGAAATCCCTGAGCCTTACCGTGACTACGATGTATCCCGTTTCGTATGTGCTGATTTCAGATGTTTTATTTGTAATTTATTTTGATGTTGCAATTTGTCATTTATAATTTCCGAACCGGTTCGCGAACCGGTTCGCGGATCGAATTAATCGAACCGGAACTGAACCGGAACAAAATAAATTTACCTGAACCTGAACCGTAACCCAACCCGTATTTTTTTTCGGTTCGACACACTGGTCAAAACCGTCTCTGTAGAAATATTTTCTGCTTGCATTTTTTATGTATGACTTCTACACTGCTGCTGCGACTGCTGTAGCGCCGAAAACGGGAATGGTGCCTCGTCAGGTAGCTTCGGCAACCTTCTGCTTCTCCCTCCCCGACATTTCATATGTCAAATAAACTTCAATTCAATTCAATTCAATGTTAATTCGAACGGTGCGGTATTACCCCATTAATTGTATGTTGATGTGAAGAGCTTTGTCAACGCCGACCCGACCCGTCGCCACAACGCGAACAACCGACACCGAGGTAGAAGAATGAATCGGTTGGTACCGTCTGCTGCCTGAACCCGCCACTGGATCAGCGCGAAAAGGAACATCACAATTTGGACGAGAAGACAAGACAAATACAGATCGAGTCATGTCATCATGGAAGACATTTTTTGACATTAGTCGCGAAGAAAATAAACAAGCTGCACGCTGAAAGTTGTGCAACGAAACTATACACGGTGCAGTCGGCGTATATCATCGAACTTTATTCGCCATCCGAAAAGAAAACACGAGAATGAGTATGCGAAGGGTGGAAAAGGGCAGGCGAACCAGCCAAAAATTGAATTGAATATGATAAGAAATATCGAGATTCGTAAAGCAAGCGTGAACGTATGCGTTTTAAAACAGGTTTCGTGACCTCGATACGGTCCCTCGTGCTGCGCCGCAGAGGTTGCATTTTGTCAGAGGATGTGTTCTTGCCGCTGTGCATGGAGTCGCCCCCAGCAGTGTACTATACTTCGTCTCACCTTAGCATGGACTATTGTTAGCCGCGCGTGCTAAAAGCGCGAGCTAGTCGCTTTCAATGAAGCCGCGGCGGCTGCACGAGCGCTCGTGCAGCAAGTGCTCTAGTCAAGGCAGTCAAGGCTGGCCGCTCGCGCTAGCACAGCCTTCGCGGTTAGTCCATGCTAGGTAGAGACGAAGTATAGCCGTGGTGCTGTATTTGAAGAATACAGTAATATAGCTTATTCCTGCGCCAAGCACGAACTGGATATTTTTATGCTCTTATCAAACAAACATGCCTGGCCGCGTATGTCCTAAAAGTAAAATGCAAAAGAGTAACAAAGAAAAAAAATGAGTGGATTTAAGCTTTGCTGTTTGTTGAGAGCCACGTGGTCGCGAGACCGATGTCTTAAACAAGCATCGACATATCAAGGGGCTTTCTCGATGTTTGCAGTACATTGTAAATAAACACTTTGTGCCACCAGCGGTCCGCTTAGTAAAATCAGTGTTTTTTTTTTTTTTTTGAGAAATTTAGCTTTTTTTTTTTGCAATTGTCTCTGCCTTTGCTAATGCCAGCTTTATGCTGCTTATGCCGGCAACACAATGTTGCTGTCAAGTGCCAATTTTTACGTTTAGGAATTAAAGGAATGGAATGGAACGATTCAGCCATTCCAGGAGTGGGAATGGGCCCAGTGTCCCCATTCCTAGGAATTGAAAGGAATTAAATCATCGAAAACTCTAATGGAATGGGGGTGCCCATTCCGTAACACTGCTGCGCTTCCTACACGCTTTAAGTCCATCTAAAATTGTCTATTTTGGTGACTTTCGATGACGCTAAGCGAGTTTCTAATTGGAACCACATGGTTATTCTCACCATACTTAGAAGCTGACTACCAAGTTTTAGATCATTATCTTATCGTGCCGATTAGCCCAATATATTATGCGGCCCTGGCCGTGTACCTCACCCGCAGAGACCACATTAGTGTACCTTTCATGGATTGCTTTTAAAACAAATCTGTTCGGGATAAAACCAAACGCCCTAAGTATTTTGCATCACGATAGAGGCGGTTCTGGACATACCCAGTAAAATTGCCAAAGTGCATGTCGCCAAAAACGGGACGACGTCGGTCTCGTCGGTCTCGGAAAATTGGCTGATTTTCTTCCCCATGTTTCTGGCATGCTCGTTCATAGGAGCGACGAAATCCTCCAGGATACGGAAGTGAAAGGCCGGAGTCAGCATTCGTCTTCGCTCTTTCCACTTGGCCCCAGAGCTGTTTTGTGGTTTGCGAAAAAATATATCAACAGAATGGTTAAAAAGAAAAGAATGCGAATGATAGGTTTTATAAAATCTATATCGCGTCAAAAAGTACGTACTTAGCTTGAACTTGTATCCTGCTTGGTAAGATTATGTATTGCGTCTCTCTACGGTTCATTAAATTTAAATATCTTTCGTAATTCTATGAAAGCCTCTGTTAACGATAGGAAATTTCAAATTGTTCTTTTTTACTACGATTTCAACATGCCGAGTCAGCTTTGCCATGGTAGCTATTGGCACCGTGAGCGATCGAAAGCGTCGCTGTGGTCGGCCCACCCCAATTGGCCGAATGCTGACTATGACGTCAGCAAAGGATGTCTCATCGACGGAAATAAGAGGAATGTAAGAACTTCCATTTTGGCGGTGTTGGCAGTGTTGCTTTGAGAGCGCAATGATTTCAGGCTTCCACCATGCCCATTACAAACACCATCGAAGTTGTTGTTCACTAGGTAATGACGTCACAAAATGTAACCAAATGAGGGCGCCACCGAAACATCTCGCCGCTAATAGGGGTGGGTGTACCTAAAGTCGGTGTACCGGGCGATCCGCATTCTAGGGCGGTCCCACGTGCCGCCGCTTCATGACGAAAAAGTGGCGCTGTAGCCATGATACCGGCAGAGCTCTGAATACCGGTAAAGCCCCTTCATGTTTCAAAAGTAGCGCGAGGCACGAGCAACGTGCAGCCTGTGGGAACATCATGACGGCACAGCGCAGCACTGAGCTAGATTTCAGACACCATGTTTTTTCCCAAATGTGGCACGCCAGCACGTGTCTCGAGCATTTCCAAAACAATAAATTGCGCCACTTTTCTCAGGATAGAGCAGCTTTAGCTATCGGTGCATTTCTGCACGAAGGGCCGTGCAAGCGTCTCACGTCATTGTGCGCGAGCTCGCGGGGCACGAAAGCGTTTCGTACTACGCGTGCTCATGCAGGACGCGCTTCTACGCATGGTGCCATTGTGCGCCTCCCGATGGCACCAGGCGCAGGCTACACACGCGCGCTTTTGCTTGAGTGGTGACATCTGAGCCAATTTTCCGCCCAATCGTTTTTTTTTTTTATGCATTTTGAAGTGCGCCCAATCCGAAATCACTCAGCTCGACCGCGTAGCTTTGGCTAATGCATAGACGCCATTTTACCGCCCAAGTCAAGCACCGAGTGCGCGAGAGCGTCACGCGCTGGGCAACAATGGATGCCTTCACCCTGAAACAGACAGACATGTAGGCACCCTATAGCTACCGGTGCCACCGGTGTCATGAACAAGTGGCATGCTATCGATTTTCTGTTCGACACACCTCCCCTTATGGACACCATAGCTCTGCTAAAGCAACACCTCCTCCTCTTTGGGAGGCACATATCACGCAAAATAAAAGATCTGATGGAACTTAGAAGTAACTATCGCCCAGGTCCTCGAATCAATATCGAAAGCGGTGTTTTCACAGACCCTACCTTTCAATACACGTTCTAATCAACTGAACGACAACAATTCCAGTGCTGTTTATGCATCGACCAGTGCAGTTCCGATGATTCTGATTCTTTCGTCACAATTGAATAACATTATAAGCTCAAATGGTTTCATGAATGTTATCCAGTCTCCCACTAGAATAAATATTTCCTCCTCAAGCACCCTCGATCTTTTAGTTACAAATGTTTGTGAAAATGTTCATGACGCTGGTACAATCGCTAGCGACATTAGTGACCACATTCCCATATTCATATCCTGTTCCTACAGCACTTTCGTAAAAAGCTCAAATAGAGTTATATATGTCTTTCAGAACATATCCGAGCGTAATTTGGAAAAGTTTAGGACAGAGATCTCCCACACTGACTGGGACCCAGTTTATTCTAAAACATGCGTAGACGAGGCGTACAACGCATTTATTGACGTCTTCAGCAAAATTTATAGCTCGAATTTTCCCTGGGAAACAAAAACAGTTGCTGAAAATATTCGGAAGCCCTGGATCACACCTCTGCACCTCAGAAAGCTAAAAAAGAGGGATCGTTTGTACAGGTCCTTTTTATCGACGAGAAATCCCGATAAACTGATAATTTTTAAGCAATTTCGGAACCGCCTGACATCTGAGTTACGAAAGGCTAAGCAAGAGTATTATACGCAGCTCTTTAAGAAAAATTCTAAAACACGCCCAGAAATAGTTTGGAAAACTATAAATGAAGTTTTACGCCGCAGTGGACAGCGTAATGATGTAGGCGAACTTTCAATCAATGGCAAAAATATATCGGGAACGTTGTTAGCAGAACACTTTAACACAGCTTTTGTAAATTTAAATCCACCACCACATAATGTCAATGCTTCACTTTATTGAACACACAGTACACGAGACACTTTTTCTAACGCCGACTGATGAACACGAAGTATATAACGCGTTTGCGGGTCTCAGCAACAGTTGAAGCTGCGATACAGATGACTTACAAGTTAGGCCTGTGAAATTTGTTCTTAATAACATCGCACCTTGCTTGGTGCACATTTTTAACCTTGCCTTGTCATCAAGAACATTTCCCCATAAAATGAAATTAGCTAAAGTATCTGTTATATTTAAAGAAGGAGACAGAAATCTCCTAACGAACTACAGACCTATCTCTATACTTCCAGTATTTTCCAAAGGACTTGAAACGATTATTTTAAAACGCCTAAACTCTTTCTTTAATAAGCGTTCTCTGTTAACGGATTGTCAATTTGGTTTCCGTAAAGGAAAGTCTACAGAATCTGCATTAGTTCGACAAAAGGAAATTATTTTGAAAAATATAGAAAAGCGATTATTTACCCTAGGTATATTCATAGATTTTAGTAAGGCATTCGATTTCGTCAACCACAAAATTATATTAGATAAACTATACTGCTACGGTGTCCGTGGCGTACCCCTATCTCTTTTTTACTCTTATCTTGAGCAACGTGCCCAATGTGTTGTGATCGATGGTCATACATCACCTTTTCTTAAAGTGCGATGTGGTGTCCCCCAGGGCAGTATTCTTGGGCCTATGTTATTTAATATATAAATTAATTACATCGTCAACATCAATAAACGAATAAAATATATAATATACGCTGACGACACGAGCCTATTTCTTGCTGAAACGAATGTTGAAAAATTAATAGCCGACGCAAATAATGTCCTTAGCCGGTTTTTTATATGGTTCAACAGCAATGGCCTTAAGATCAACATCCAGAAAACAAAGGCTATTGTTTTTCGACCGAAGAACAAAGCTGTAGCTATTAACAACAACATTACAATTGGTTCTACACCAATTGAGTTAGTAAAAAGTTATAAAACGCTCGGAATAATTTTTCCTGAGCATCTTTTGTGGAATGACCATGTCGATTATCTCGTCAAGAAGCTGTCCAAAGTGGTTGGAATCATGTCACACTGTCGCTCTGTTTTTCCAGTTAATATTAAACTACAAATTTACTATTCACTATTTCAGTCCTACATCAATTACTGTCATCGTATTTGGGGGAAGACTACTCAAATAAATATTAAAAAGCTTACGTTACTTCAAAAGAAAATGCTCCGTTACAATGCCAATGAACACTGCATGGCTCATACAAAGCCCCTATTTGCCCAATATAAAGTAATTACCATTGAAAAAATGTACGACTATAGACTGCTGCATAGTTTCCGCTTTTCAACTTCTGACCATATTTTGTTTTTATGTGAAATGGCGAACCTCTCCGAACATCCTCATCGCATCAACACGCGCCTCTCGGAAAGATGGATCATACCTCGAGCTCGTACTAATTATACTTATCAGTCAATCACTTATCGTCTACCTTCATTACTTAACCATTTACTTACCAACAATATTGATATATTGATATAACAGCCAAAGACTGGAACGATCTTCCTGAACATATAGTACAGCTTAGGGACTTGTATAAATTCAAAGAAGCTCTTATAGCGCTAGATCAATCATAGTTTCATAATGATGAAATTCATGCATGCATTTGTGTGCTCTCCCTGTCTTTCTTGATATAGATGTGCTCTTTTTGTATTCTTTTTGTATTTTGTCCACAGGTTTCTGGAATTTTCACTGCTTTGCTGTGTAATGCCCACCCCTCATGTAATACCCCCTTCTACGGGGGCCTTTGAGGAAAATAAATAAATAAATAAATAAATATATATAACATGGGAAGAAAATTCTTATTGATGTACTTCTTATAGTCCTGTCGGACATTGTGTATAAATAAATGTGAAATAATTTTATTCTGTGGTATATCTATTCTTGTTAAAAAAGTTTTTTTTCTGTGTAATGTGAAAAATGGCTGCGTACGCTTTTGTTGTTGTTGCTATATTGCTTCTTGCTAACCGCATTTCTCTTTTAGAAAGTGTTATATTTTGTAGATATTATGAACAGAAGCTGTGCGTATATTTTTCTGGTTTGTGCGCTTGTGTGCGACCTTAGTATTTTTGGTAAATATTGGTATTTTGATTTTGGTATTTTGTATAAAAATATTTTAGCGTGTTTTTTTTTTTTTTTTTTTTGAAAGTTAGTCTTGCTGCCCATTTCCAAACGGGCCCCAGACCCCGTCAAGCTGCCTTTGGCAGCTTTTTGTATGGGGCACCGTTGGCTAAAAGGCCACAAATAAATATTGATTGATTGATTGATTGATTGATTAATCGGTGTATGCATATAACACGAAGGAAATACCACGGGGTGTTAAATGCGAAGTAAACTTGAAACATTTCAACTTCATGTTTGTTGCTTAACGAGGAAGTTCAAGATTGACTTCAACAGGAAACGTTGGACACGTCACAGCCTTTGAATCCCAAATCGACATGTTCTATGCCTTATATCATGACTGTTACAGTATTTTTTACACGTCTGTTTGCATGTGTTTATTCTTTTCTTTTTTTTTTTCCTCCAATCTACAAAATGCAAAAAAAAAAAAAAAAAAAAAGATAGAGGTCTGAATTCGCTTTCTCAAATATTCACGTGTGCGGCCTCACCTTGTCAACAAGCCGGTGCCCAACCACGAGTGCAAGAGGCTGTAATTGAACGATTTCGACATCGTTTTTGGACTGGTCAGAACACTCTGAAATAATGAGGTTTGGAACTGTCACGCGTGTAATTTGTAACAATTACAAATGAATTACACAATGATAACAGTAAAATAGCTTTCATGCGAATCTTAAGACGCTACCATATTTTAAGCACTTCTTTGAGGCGAGTGCGTTGACGCGGTGCAAAAACTTAGAACACGGACAAAACTGTGTTGTCCGTCTTGTGTTTTCTTTTTTCTTTATATTTAATTGTTTTATGCTCCTTTTTATAATATATTTGAAGCTTACCTTTTGAGAAAAAGAAAAGTGGTTTGTTTCTTACTTACCTCGATGAGTTCTGGTTTAAATATCATCACATGCAGTTGGTTTCCCACATAGAAGCGGTAAATACCCTTCTTCTGGTACTGTGAACATATTCCCAAATGCGTTTCCATTGTAGCTGAAATGAAAACGAATTATGAGGTGAAAAGAAATTTTATAAATATCAAATTTCTATATTTGGCCATATACCTCTTTAACAAAGTGTACTGCGATTGTGGACGAGTTCGAAAGATCATATAGTAGAAGGCAGGGAAAGATCTTCGAGTGGTTGGTCTTAGAACCACCAAATAAAAGGACTAATTGGTAATACATGGTAATTATGTTCATTTTCTTATTTGGGAATTACGTGATTCGAATTTCTGTTCTTAAATAAAACCGGCAATTTTCTAACTGATCCGATAAATTTAAAAATGGCTATTTTTTGAAGACCGAGAGCGAAACTTTTATACAAAAAGAATATGTCTCGATCACGTTAAAATTTAGATTTTAGGAAATACCTAAATGTTCAAACACTTTGGAAGACACCATTAAGTGCTCGCAGTGAAGGTAACATACTGGTCAGTCTCAGTGTTTTTTTTTTTTTTTCAACCAAATAAAAAACTTTGCATAAAATTGAGGCGAATATAAATAGACGGAAATCGAATAACTAGCAATTAAATACCGTTTTAATGAATGGTCGAATCGATTGTTTGTTGACTTTTTCTGCTTTTACGGCTGTACAACCATATGGTCATTAGTAGCTGGAACACTCACACACGTTGTACGGGACCATGTGCTTGACTCTGGCGATGCGGAAGTGTTGCCGAACAATCCAGAGCAGCGGTATGCTCCCGTCGGGACCGGGCAGAGCCTTGACGTGTTTCCATGTCGCACGTCGCGCTGCGTGGAAGGCTCCAAGCACAGACAAAAGGAGAAGGGCGGCCCCACCAAGGAAGAGGCACACAAAAGAAAGCAAAACCTGAATCGCTGGCAGCATGGCGGGCGGCAAACTTTCCAATGTTATCTCAATAAAGTATTTTGCGTGACGAGTGAACGCATGCCATCTCTTTTAGTTCTCTTGTGTTTGCACAACCAGGAACAGGTTGGTTTGGAGCTTTCCTGGTCGATACGATCCGCCTGTTGGGCCCACGATACGTTTTAAATGAGCGACCTTGTACGAGTACATGCCATTTAACGACTTTTCGTATGCGAGCATCTAGCTTGACGAGATTACGTGTGCCGCATAAACGTCAGAAGGATGCGTTTGCTGACGTCGATCGTTACTTAATAGACCTATCTCACTAACCAGTTTGGTTGCGCCACCGCTGCCGCCAGGCATCGAGGGAACTTTGGTTGTTGTTGTTGTTGTTGTTGTTGAGTGTTGTTACACACGGGAAGAGGGGATGCCATGCACGTAATGTTAGCCTCCTTGTGCAGGGGCAAGACTCGCACAGGCGGGGAAAGAGAGTGAGAAAAGAAAAGAAGAGGGGTTGGGGGTGATTTGGTCACCAATCTCTGGATGAGTAAGGTCGAATCAGGAGGCTATTTTCTTGAGGGAAAGGGAACACTGCAGAACTGTCTTCTGGTATGGAGATCACAAATTAGTCGATGAAAGTTGAGACGAGAAGGCGTGGCTGGTCTAGGTGGCGGGCCGGTGGGCTAGAGGCGCGTTGCAAGTTCAGTGGCTGGGAGGTGCTCAAGAAGAGATTTATAAACAAGTTCACTTCTTCGTCAACTTCCGGTAGGAAAAAGGATTTCGTTCTTTTGAGTCATAGTCGTGCTGGCACTCAGGATGGTGGTAAAAAAGGACCGTCGAGCTTGATAGTAGTGAGAACAATTTAGGAGGACGTGGTCAAGGTCCTGTCGGACATTGCATCTGGCACAGTATATATAGACCTGGAGATCTTGTGAAGTGTCGTTGATGTGAAGGCGCAGCTTGCACGAAGGCGATGGAGTAGCGTGGGATCTTGTCTGGTTAGTTTTGACTCAGGGAGCGATGAAGAAGAATTCCCGCTCGCAACTTCTGTTTGGGGGTGACGCATTCTGGTAATCAATCTGCACAGTCTGCGCGCTTCGCAATAACGTGGGATGAAAAGACCTGGTTCTTCTTCTTTGTGTGCCTTTGAAGCAAGGGCATCGGCGCGTTCGTTGCCCGGGATACCCATATGTGAAGGAATCCATTGAAAAGCCAACTACCACCCTGGGAGGACGACGACGACGACGCACCTAAACGGATGCTTGATTCCTCACCTCTGCAAGTAAATCAGTTTTTTACTATTATTTTGGTCATTTAAACTACAACCCCCTGGGAGCGTTCGCAAAACCTCTTGGGCAGTCACCCTGACCGAAGCCCCAACTCCGAGCGACGCAACCATGAGCGAATCCACCCCCGGCTCTGAGAGCTTCGATGACAACGATATAGATGACGCAGAAAAAGAAGGTTCCGGCTGGACCCTCAACTATAGGAAGCGACGCCACGTCTCCGGGGGCTCTGCTTCAAGTCAAGCCACCATCATTGATGCCCATCGCGAGAACCGGACGGTCATCGTCAAACCCCAAGACCCGACAAAGCTCATCGCGAAACTTAACCCTCTAACCCTATCTCAAGAGCTAGATTCCATCACACCCCATGGAGTGATTCAAATTCGACCAAACTACAGACTGAACCTCCTTGCAATTGACATGCGGGACAACAGCTCCATGCAAACGATCCTTACTTTAACAATTCTATTAGGGATCAAAGTCCAGACCTACGAAGCTCACCCACGATCTTCGGCCGTAGGAATCATTCGTGACGTAGACAAGGACATGACAGAAAGCGACCTCAAAAATGCTATAAGCGTAACTACGCCAGTCATCTTAGTCAAAAGGCTAGGCGCTTCAGAAACGGTGAAACTTGTCTTTGCAACCGAGACCATGCCAGAACACGTCGTTGTGGGGCATATACGCTTCAGAGTACTGCAGTACACCGAAAAACCACGACAGTGCCACAAATGTCGGCGGTTCGGGCATATTCAGACCGCATGCCCCCATGTGCAACGTTGCAGCCGCTGTGGCGGCACTCACGACCGCGTCGACTGCCAAGCCGACCAACCTAAGTGCGTCAACTGCAAAAGAAAGCATGAGGCGACCTCTCGAAGCTGTCCCTTTTATAAAACGGAAGCCGCTGTATCGAGCTATCGTCACACCCACAAGGTCAGCTACCCACTAGCGAAATCAGCTGTCCTCTCCGACAACAAGAACAAAACTGCTCGAACTCTGAATCCATCTTCCAGGAACAGCCAGAACGAGAAAGTGGAGGATGCTATGATGCCGCCACTAGACGACGATCACTTTCCTGCTCTTCCACGTCAGTCAGCTGCGTCCACATCAGCATCAACTAGCGTTGGACCCGAAACATCACCGCGGCAACGCCAGGACAACTTCGCAAGAGTGACAAAAACTTCTGCTCAAAGGGCTAGCGACACAACGTACCGATCTCGTACCCAAGGCTCCGACAATAATACTGAACCTCAAGGACTAGGATCCGCGGTGTACACCCTTGCGACGCTACTACGTACCTTTCTGGCCACACTGGAGCACCCGCTCGCAAGAGCAGGTATTACCCTAATTGACTTCACATTACCTCTCGTCCACTCTTGGATCAAGTAGACTCAGGCAACTGCCAGAGCCTTAACAGATATTAATACCAACACCATGCTTGATACCCGAACGATCCCCAAAAAACGATCACAAACCCCAAAACGCCTTAAAAAACTTCCATCTATCATCCAATGGAATACCAATTCGTTCCACCGTCGCCTGCCAGAGCTTCGTCGCAGACTCATCGAACTTAAAACAGACGTACTTGCTCTGCAGGAGACATACACCCAGAAGGGTTCCCAGCGAATCTCCCCTTACGTGGAGTACCACAGCGTCACTGCTCACCCCGATGGAAAATCAAGGGCTTCCCTTTTAGTCAAGCGACACATCCTGCATGGAGAAATAGACCTGTCTGACCTGAACACCACTGTTGCCGAACATGTTGCCGTCAAACTACAGATCGCTGATCAAATAATCGTAGTTATATCATCCTACATCCGACCAGCCCAATCGTGGGACCCAGACCTGCTGAGAGTAATACGAGACCGATGCCCAGGGCCTATAGTCTGGTGCGGAGATTTTAATGCCAATCATTACGCCTGGGGAAGTGACACAACGACGGAACGAGGAACCGCACTGCTTGAAGTCACCAGAGACCTTGGACTGCGTTGTCTCAACTCCGGAGCTCCAACATTCGTTCGCGCGAATCTACAAAAGGCGAGTGTACTTGACCTCACTTTTGTATCAAAAGAAATAAGCTTCCTATGGGACATCGAACCAGACACCTGGGGGAGCGACCACCTACCAATCCGACTAACCCCACGTTATGGCACCCAACCAAAAACCAGGGCTCACAACATTACCAACTGGGACAGGTACAGAGAAGTATTCTCAAATCTGATGAAAAGCGCAAAGGCCCCTTGCTTAGAAGAAGCTATACTAACGTCCTTAAATATAGCTACAACAAAAATCACCCTCCCAATAAGTAAGCCCGTACCCGATCTTACGTATCTTCAAATACGCGCCAATGCCAGACAAGCACAGCGAATCGCCCGACGCACACACCAAGATGAAGATTGGATAAAATCTCGACGCATCGATGCAGCACTCCGTCGATATACCATAAGGCTGGGGAGACTACAATGGGACCAACGCAGTGAAAGTCTATCGACAGATACTGGGTCAAGGCGGCCTTGGACCACTGTGCAATGCCTCTTAGAACCAGTGACTCCCCAATGCCCCTATGCAGCAATTGCAATGGGAAATCAAACATCGCTCCAAGAACTGGCTGAACATTTTGCAGACGAGTTCTCACGCCCCATAAGCCCTCCCCAAGGAAATCCGCCTCCCAAAAGGCCTCCCCTTCCAACCTATTCAACAATCAACATAGACGATGACTTTACCTTGTCCGAGCTCCGATATGCCCTCTCCCGATGCCCTCGACGTGGAGCTCCGGGTCCTGACCGCATCACAAACCAGGCTCTAAAAAACTTAGACGAGTCATTCCTACCCGGACTGTTACAACTTATAAACAATATTTGGCAATCTGGGGATGTCCCTGACACCTGGCGACACTCAGTAATAGTACCAATCAAAAAAACTAACAAGCCTGCAGCTGACATATCTTCGTACCGTCCGATTTCTTTGACTTCGTGCTTATGCAAACTGACTGAGCGCCTGATCCACCGCCGTTTAAATTGGCAATTGGAACGAGCGCAAGCCTTTCCTTCTCAGCTGTCAGGATTCCGAAGAAGCCGGTCAACAACAGATGCCATCGGCGACATCGTATCGTCGTTAGAGCAAGCAAAGGCAGAAGGAAAGGTCATCCACACCGTTTTTCTCGACATCCATCGAGCATTTGATGCTCTGCCACACTCTGTAATCCTAGAACGACTACAGAACACAGGAATAGAAGGGCGCGCCCTTCGCTTCATTACTTCTTTTCTTTACAACAGAACATTCGCTGTCCGACTGGCTGGCCGCCTGAGCACGATACGAAGCAGCACCCAGGGGGTACCACAGGGCAGTGTTTTGAGTCCTCTGCTTTTTAACATCGTAATGGCTGGACTACCGACTGCTCTTCCTGTGGGTGGACATTATCCCATACACTGTGCCATATACGCGGATGACGTCGCGCTATGGTGCGCTGGGCCTACCCGACTGTCCACTACCGTCCGCGCAGTGCTACAACGAGCTCTAGATCGCACGGCCTCCTTCCTCCACCATGCCGGTCTGACACTCTCTACGTCTAAGACACAAGCTCTCACCTATCGCCCTAAAGGCAGAATGAAAGGGAAATACTCTGCACTTAAAATTGGAGGCAAGGTCATTCGACGTGAACCACAAGTTCGATACTTAGGCGTAATCATTGACGACCGCGTCACT